AACTGTTATTCTCTGCTCCCATATTTTTTGCCTGAGAGCCCCTTAATTTAAAATTTATAGCAATTCAGAGGAGTGGGGAGGGTTTACATTCTCCATTTCAGGGGAGGCTTTTGCCTTCCTTAGCAGACACCTGTCTTTCAAAACCAAGATAGCAGAAGGACCTGAGAGATCCTGTGGATGCTCCCCATCCCTACAGACTGCAGCCAGACCATAATTTAACCACCTCTGTTCAAGTGTTTTGAGCAGCTTCAGGGACTGACCACACTATCCTGTTTGGTGCCCTTCTCATTGAATCCATGACAACTGCGTATAAAAACACAGTTTTCATTTGCAGGATTCTTTCCTTCAGAAAATTCTATTTAATGAGTCTTTCTTGGCAGTTTTGGGGCCATGTTTGGAGCAGCAAAAGGAGGCAAGATCTTGTGAGAGGATGCCAGACCTTTTCCAGTGCCAGTGTCAGGCTCCCATTGCAGTCACTGGAGCAAAGGTTGAGGTGGGAGCAGTGGGATACCAGGGGATATCCTGGGGTGTCTAATAGAGAATTAAATGTAAACAACTGTCATGCCTTAGAGCCAAGTGCCCCTCTGTCAGCTAAATCCCTTCAACTGGATTTCAGTTCATGGGGAGCAATAAACACACACAAAGTGCTTGGTGTCATTTTAACGCACACAGATGCTTAAAACAACCTCAGCGACTCCCATCACCAAGGGGTGGGTTTTTCTCCCTGTTGATGGAAAGATGGTTCTGTAGATGCTGATGGTTATAAAATAGACATTTGTGAAATGGCTGGAAAACCCCATCCAGTACAAAAAGTGCTGCTTTTGCTCCAGCTCTGTGGGGTGAGAACCTTGAGCACCCCAGAGGCTGTAAAGGGCATTTTCAGACATGGGGCGAGGGGGAATGGCTTTAATGTGAAAGAAAGCAGGATTAGATGGGATATTGGGAAGGATTTGCTCCCTGTGAGGCTAGGGTGGCCCTGGCAGAGGGTGCCCAGAGAAGCTGTGGCTGCCCCTGCATCCCTGGAAATGTCCAAGGCCAGGTTGGACAGGGCTTGGATCAACCTGGGATAGAGGAAGGTTGGAACCAGATGATTTTTAAGGGCCCTTCAAACCCCAACCACTGTGTGATTGATGGCCAAAATCCCCACTGCTGCAGGCTGTAGGAGGGGGTGGATACCTGCAGCCCAGGACTCACCTGAGCGGGAACCACCCCACTGCTCCTGGAGGTCACACAGCAATCCCTTCCCCTGGAATCAGAGCAGGGCCTGGCCCCCCTTCATGTGCTGCTGAACTGTGGGTGACCTGTGACTCCAGCTGAACACACTTTGTCCTAATCACCACATCAGAGCTCCCCCCACAGCCCCTCTGAACTATAATTGGGCCATTTACTGAATTTTGCCTGGGCAGGGAAGGCACTGAAGGAGGCATTTGCTTTGTGAGCCCCTTATACTCTAATTATTGTTCAAGTTACCATTGCATCAGAGCCTAACAAAAGATGCTTAAGAAAGCAAGGAATGAGACATCAATTGTGGTTCATGGGGTCATGGAAGAAATGTAGCACACAGAAAAATAATACATAGGCCATCTCCAGTGTCTGTTCTTTAGCACTTGTACCCCCTGAACATCCATTAATGTTAATGTTTATGACTAAATAGAACTATAAGTCAATTACAGCTCCTGGTAGTGTTAATTCCCAGCCAATCCATATATTTGTCTTCAGAACTGCCAGGGAATTGGGATAGAATAGATTTTTCTTTTTAAGGGAATGGATTATTTTTTTTAGGTAGAAATACTTGGGAGCTCTGCTATTCAATCTCCTTGAGTTAGTGGAGGAACGTGGTCAGTTATCCACAAATTAGGCTGGTCTGGTATGACAGCAGCTGGTGAAATGTCTGAGCCTTTTCATTCTTGGCTTTTCTATTCATGGGGTGGCCTCAAGATGCACCAGGGGAGGTTCAGGTTGGACATCAGGAGGAATTTCATCCACTATCCCAGGTTGCTCCAAGCCCTGTCCAGCCTGGCCTTGGACAATTCCAAGGATGGGGCAGCCACAGCTTCACCTGTGCCAGGGCCTTACCACCCTCACAGGGAAGAATTCCTTCCTAATATGCCATCCAAATATCTCTTTTTCTGTTTAAACCCATTCTCCTTTGTCCTGTCATTGTCTCCCCACGTGAAAAGTTGTTCCCTCCATCACAGTTCACAGATTTGGATCCTGATGTGGATCATGTGGATTTACAACCTCGAGTCCAGCAATTTTCCTGCCTTTTCCAGCCTTAGCCTGGCTCTGGACATGAAAGCATGGATCCTGATCCTCAGCAAATCCCAGGAAAGGTTAATACCAGGCTTTTATCTCCTCTATGTCCAGACTTCTTTGGGCTGCAGCTACTGGAGCCAACTCAGCATCTCCAGGGTTTGTTCCCTGACCAGGAATCTCTGCCTTGCTCGAGCTTCTGATCCTTCCTGGCCTCTCCCCAGGGACTCGGGGGGGGCTCCTGGAGCCTGGAAGTTCCCAAGGAAAGAGCTGGATGAAGCAGAGCAACCCTATTCTGCTCTGTCTCCACCACAGAGATGAGGATGTGAAGGATTTGGGCATTTTGAATTCTGACCTCGCTCTCATCTGACACAAACCCTGCAGTCCTTACAGGCAATCCTTACACTGTCCACAGAGCAGATGCATTGTCCAGTTCTGTCCCTGACTCCAAAAGGGACATTGAAGGATTGGAGAGTATCCAGGGAAGGAAATGGGGCTGGGGGAAAGAGCTGGAGCACCAGGAGGGGCAGAGGGAGCTGGGAAAGGGGCTCAGCCTGGAGAAAAGGAGGCTCAGGGGGCACCTTGTGGCTCTGCACAACTCCCTGACAGGAGGGGACAGCCAGGGGGATCTGGCTCTTCTCTAAGACAAGATAAGGGAAACCAGCCTCAAGCTGTGCCAGGAAAGGTTTATATTGGATATTGGAAAAAATATCTTCCCTGCAAGGGTGGAACTGCCCAGGGAGGTTTGGATGTTACCCTGGAGGTATCTGAGGGAGGTTTGGATGTGCCACTCAGTGCTCTGAGCTGGGGACAAGGTGGGGATTGGTCACAGGATGGACTCAGTGATCCTGGAGGGCTTTTCCAACCTAAATGTCATGAATATGTTTTATGAAAAATCTTTTCCTTAGGATTTTTCTCCTGAGAAGCCAAGAGGCCTCAGGAACAAAATGTGAACAATGATTATCTGCTGCTGTGGAATGCAACAGGTGCATCTGTGATTGACCTATGCTGGTTGTTTCTAATTCATGGCCAATCAGAGCCCAGGTGTCTGGACTGTTTCAGTGAGTCACAAGCCTTTGTTATTCATTCTTTTTCTATTCTTAGCCAGCCTTCTGATGAAACCCTTGCTTCTATTCTTTTAGTATAGTTTTAATATAATATATATCATAAAATAATAAATCAAGCCTTTTGAAACATGGAGTCAACATTCTCATCTCTTCCCTCATCCTGGGACCCCTGTGAACACCACCACACCTAAATAATTCTGGGATTCTGCCCAGTGGTCCCTGCTGCAGAAGCAGCATCAGATTCAGCCCTGTCCTGTCCCAGGCCATCACCAGGACAAGCCACCAGGTTGCAGACCCAGACTGGTGAGGTCAAAATGTGTCCCCCATGGCTTTAAGCAGGACTTCTCAGAAATCCAGCAACAAAATACTTCCCCTCCAGCAAATCAGCAAAATCTGGTGGCAAGTCCTGTCACTTGTTTCATCCCTGAAAAGTACAACTTCTATCCTCAGCTCTGGTTTTGCTCCCTTTATTCCAATTTACTAAGCATTCCTGCCTGGTCAGGATCCCACTAAAATCAGAGAGACGCTGAACTCTGAGTTCTATCACCTATGCAAAGGAGAAAAGGGAAATCTCACATTCCTACTCCATTCCTCAGACAACTCTGACATTATTGTGGATCTAAATATCTTCTTCTTCAGCTTTCTGAGTCCAGGAGATTAATCTTGCTGGGAACAATTGCTCCTGCTATTTCACCAGCATCATTCACCCACAGAACTTCAGGCTGGGCTGGGTAGTACATCCTTTAATCATGTTAATGTTATCCTGTGGCAATTTTCTTTTTAAGATTTTTTTAATTTAATTTAATGGAAGTGAAAGTCACTCCTTGGATGGTTTCAGAGGCAGATTCTCTCTGGCTAATCACAAAATCATTTTGCTAAGCAAACTTTTTCTCAGAGTCCCACAGTCCTGGTGCCCCCAGCCTTTGCTAAAGGTCAGAGGATCTCTCTCTGTTCTGGGTGCTGGTTTAACCCCTCCAATGAGTAATTCCTACAGGATGGAGCTGTCCATCCACGTGTTTCCCCATCCAGACCCCTCCAAACCCATAGACATGTAAAAAATACACCTGGATGGGGCTTGGAGCAACCTGGGATAGTGGAAGATGTCCCTGCCCATTGGAACCAGGTGAGATTTAAAGCTCTGTCCTACCCAAACCCCTCTGTGATTCCTAAAAAACCATTTCCCAGTGGAGGAGGGAAATCTCAGTCTGGAACCAGAGGCTGCAGGAGAGCCCAGTCCCTGTCAGTCTGTCAGGAGAGGGGTTGGAATTTGGGTGCTATGAAAGACAAGGTGAATTTTTGGCTTCCAGGCCTCATTTGACGCAGGACAGCCATCCTGGGGGTGGAATGTGCTGTGAGGGCACAGGCTGGGAGTGAGTTTTGCCTCATTTGGGTGCTTGTGTCAGCTTCCTGATATCAAATGCTGCTCAGACTGTAATTTAGGCTTGAAGAGTCCCTCATTCTCTGTCACCAGCACGTTGCCACAAGATGTGACTCATTCTGGCACCCACAGACCAACCAAACCCATTTGGGTCAGAGCCAAGACCTCACCTGAGAAATGTTTCTTATTAAACACCCTCAGATTAAACGTCTATACCAATTCTTTTGCCTTGGAGCTCCTGGAAAACCATTCCCATTTCCTTTCAGTGTGTAACCTCAAGCAGACCAGGATGGTCCCTTTACCTGGCAGCCTCTTCCTCCTCCTCCTCTTCCTCCTTCTCCTTGCTCTGTCTCAGCACACATCACGCCCCCCACGAGGTGTGGGATGTGCTTCAGGCATTCCTCCCTGCTGATCAGCTTCACCTTTGTTTTCTGCAGCACAGGGGACGCTGCAGCAAATGAAAAGAGAAGGATCAACAAAGCTGCTGGAGATTTCCCTTGGGAACAACCTCAGCTGGATTTCTAATGCATCTCAGGGCAATGGAGTCTCTGGGTTTTTGGGGTCACAGAGGATCCCCAAGTGTTGGAAATAATGATTTTATCACAGAATCCCAGAATGGTTTGAGTGGAAAAAGACCTTAAAGCCCATCCAGTGCCACCCCTGCCATGTGCAGGGACATCTTCCACTCTCCCAGGGTGCTCCAAGCCCTGTCCAACCTGGCTTTGGACAGTTCCAGGGATGCCAGACTACTGGGAAACTCCCACAGGGATGGATTTTCCTGCTGGTGGTCTCAGTGATCATTTGAGATGCGGTGCCCTGCACACTTGGGACTTCTCACTCATGTTTTTTTGGGAACTCAGTCTGAGGGGCTTTTCGTGGGATCCTGTGCAAGGCCCTGCAGATCAAAGTCCACAGAGCTTTCCCCAGAATTCTAATCTTAGAATTTTAGAATCATGGAATAATTTACTGTGGAAACAACCTTTGAGATCATCCAGCCCAACCGTTCCCCCAGCACTGCCAAGGCCACCTCTGCCCCATGTCCCCAACTGCCACATCCACATGGTTTTGAAATCCCTGCAGGGATGGGGACTCCCCCACTGCCCAGGGCAGCTGTTCCAATGCCCAACAACTCTTCTAGGGATGATTTTTTTTCCTAATATACAATCTAAGCATTGTTCTCCCCAGGGAGGGCTGCAAGGCTACACCTCACCCAGCTGTGTCTTCCCAAAGTGACACAAAGGAAGTATCTCCTTCATTCTTCCCTTGGGTTGGGAATGCAGAAATCACAGCTGGCACCTGCAAGTGACAGAAAGACTATAAAATGCGCTGGGCTGCTCAGAAACCCCAATTACTTCACCCATGTTTCTCTCTAAAGTGAACCTGAGACTGAAGGATAAAACTGAGACCTTCAGGTTGTTTGGTACTCACTCCTTGTTTCATTTTTCACTGTGCCAAATCCTCCCAGAACCTCCAGGAATCTGTGACTCAATGACAAGATCTCAAAGATGGAATGTTGTCACATCTCTTTTCCAGCTAAGATGGAAGTGCCCAAAGATGAAAATGCTTTGGTAAAGGAATCTCCAGGAGGGTGAAGCTCTCCTGTTCTGGAGAGAAGCTGGGGGTGTTCACCTGGAGAAGGGAAAGCTCTGGGAAGACTTTAGATCATTTTCCAGAGCCTAAAGGGGCTCCAGGAGAGCTGGAAAAGGTTTTGGGATATGGGATGGAGGGACAGGGCAAGGGAGAATGACTTTAAACTGGAAAAAGGAGATTTTGATGGGATATTGGGAAGGAATTCTTGGCTATGAGGGTGGTGAGACCCTGGCACAAGGTGCCCAGAGAAGCTGTGGCTGCCCCTGGATCCCTGGAAGTGTCCAAGGCCAGGTTGGATGGGGCTTGGAACAGCCTGGGATAGTGTAAAGTTTCCCTGCCTATGGCAGGAGGTGGCACTGCATGGATTTAAAGGTCCATTTCAACTCTAAACCATTCCATGAGTCCATGATCCTGTGGATCAAGTTCAGTGCTGTGTAACTACTCGACAGAAAATAGAAACATGTTACCTTGGTGAAGGGGGAGAGCTTCACAACTGTGAGAGTGTTGTGTGTTACTGCTTAGGGAGGAAAATGAAGCTTAAGAAGGCAAATGCAGAGTTTCATGAAGAAAAACACCCAGAATTGAAGTAGAATAGCAAGGATTCAATGGAATATTCACTTAATGCATCCTGGGAAGGAGCACTCGAGCTCCAAGCCCCCCCCACCCCTGCCCTCCCAGTCCTGATTAATTCTTTCCAATAATGAATCAGCTCATTGGCTAATTAGTGACATTTGTTCAGGAGAGACATTTTGGGTCACAATCAGTGCTGGAACTGCTTTCATTAGGGCTTAAATGAGATCAATTAGCAACAGCAATCTGCAGTCCTAAATGAGTGAAGGAAGGAGTGGCCAGAACCAATAAGTCAATCCAGCTCACAGAGGCATTAAACCAAGACAGCCCCAAATCCTCATTTCCTTTAGTCCAGACCATTTTAGACCCAGCCTAATTGGGTAATTCATAAAATATCCCAAGCTGAATTTACCCACAAGGATCCTACAAGGTGAAAAGTGTTCAAGACCCAGTTGGACAGGGCTTGGAGCAACCTGGGACAGTGGAAGGTTTCCCTCCCCTGGAGGGGGTTGGAATAAGATGAGCTTTAAGGTCCCTTCCAGCCCTAATAATTCCATTATTATGTGCTAATTTACCCATCAGGGTGGAGTTTGCCTTAATCTGGCTGCCAAAATGAGGTCCAAAATTTGGATGTGGCACCAAAATAGGTCCCAGATTTTGCTCTGGGGGTTGTTGGTGACTTTTTCTTGCCCTGAACAGGGAACTGGTGGATGTGCAGAGTCTGGGGGGGTTTGGATGCATAAACCATCTCGACATCTTCAGTGTCATGCTTTCTATAAGCTACAAGAACGTAAAATTTGGTGGGTGATTGGTCAATCGTGGTTTGTATTTTTGTTTGGGTTTTTTGGGGGGAGGGGTAGTTCTGGGGTTAATTCTATGTCTGTTTGGGGGTGGTTGTAGAGTGATGATGGTTGATTGTTGTTTTTGATATTAGGAAATATAGAGGAAGGTTAATTGAAAGTGTATTGAGGATAAGTGATTTAGACAATGTAGGGATATATGGTTTAATTATATGACCAGAAAAAAAAAAAAAAAGTCATGATGAAAAAAGGTGGGAACTGAAAGTTTGTCTGGGAAACCCCTCATGGGAGAGGACAGCCACAAAACCCATCTTCCATCAGCAAATGCATCTCCCCCAGCACCTCACCTGCACTGGTGTTCTCCCAGCCAGAAGCCCAGCAGTGCTGCCACTTGTCCATGTCATACACGAAGGGCAGGCAGACAGGAATCTTCTCAGTGCTGAACTCGATGGGGCTGCTGAGCAGGATCAGGGCAATGTCGTTCTGCAGGCTGGTCCTGTTGAACCCCTCGTGCAGGATGAGGCTGTCTGGGTGGCACTCTTCCAGAGGGAGGCTGAGGTTCACTCCCCCCACTGCCACCATCAGGTCTGGTGGCCTTAAAAACAAAACAGGGCATGGGGAACATAAAGGATTTGGGTTGTGAAGGTTGGTGGCTCCTCCCCAGAGCAGGGCATGATGGTGGCTTAGGCAGCTCAGCTGTAAATATCCAAGGAATTTACCCTCACTCCTAGGAAAGGATGGTTTCCAGGGCAGAGGGGTGCAGAGGTAGAACGTGAATGAAGGTTATAAATAACCCAGTCTGTACCAAGCAGATGGAATGGTCTGGATCTTTTGGATCTCTGTGCCCTGAGCTGGCTGCTCAGACCCTACTGTCCCCAGCCAGCTGCTCCAGCTGCCATGGGTCATTTGTTACCAAGCAATTCTCAGCTGCCACATTTTGGAGGGGACTCACAGAGGGTTGGACACTGCATGGAGTTGATTTACCCAGAACTTGGTGTTTTAAACTCAAAATCTCCTTGAGGTGAAGGTATTTGGTGTGTGAAAGCAAAGGTAATTTGGGGGATACAGTGAGCTAGAATGGAATACATCACCTTTTACAAGGTCCTGGTACAGGTGTGGATGCACAAGAAATGCTTGGGGCCATCAGAATAGCATCAGGGGCATTTATCCAAGGCTGCTCAGGCCACTCCTCAAAGTATTGAGGGATGAACCCAACCACACCCCTCAAAGTATTTCCCTTCTGCTTGAAGCCAAATCAAAGCTCTAGGAACCAGGAAATTTATTAACCCAAGAAAATCAAAAAGGCAAAGGCACTGGAAATGGTTATGCAGATTTCTGCACATTCCTGTGTTCAAATATGGGCCTGTCTCCCCCAGAGGAGACAACCCCTGTTTTTAGGGTTCAGTCGCACCAATGGTGGCACAGGAGGAGATGCACATCCTGCACCCACCAGGAGGAATGTCATCCCCACAAGTGTGGCACAGGAGGAGATGCACATCCCTCACCCATCTGAAGGAATTTCATCCCCACAAATGGTGGCACAGGAGGAGATGCACATCCCGCACCCATCAGAAAGAATGTCATCCCCACAAGTGTGGCACAGGAGGAGATGCACATCCTGCACCCACCAGGAGGAGTTTCATCCACACAAATGTGGCACAGGAGGAGATGCACATCCTGCACCCACCAGGAGGAATTTCATCCCCCTCCCCATGCCTGGGCTGCCCTCCCATCCCTGGATCACTCACAGCTCATCTGCAAAGCAGTGTGCTGCAGTTAGAATCCACAGGGCACTGATGATGGTGCCTCCACAGATGTGCTTCCCGTGGCTCTGGATGCTCACGTGCCACGGGAATTCCCCAGGGATGACATTTGTCCCTCTCCCAGTCCTCTTGCCAGTTATCGGGAACGACTCGTAGGATGGTCGGAGGCCACAGCCTGGGTACAAAAAGGAACATTTTGGACACATTCAGCAGTGTCACAGCCTGCGCTGGACAGGGGCAGGACATCCCTGAGCACTGAAACAGAAATATCTGTGGAATCAGAGAAACAGGGAATCACAGAATGGGTGGGGTTGGAAGGGATTTAAAAATATTTTTTCCAACTCCATTCCAACTCCAACTTCCACCAGATAAGGTTGCTCCAAGCCTCATCCAGCCTGGCCTTGGACACTTCCAGGGATCCAGGGGCAGCCACAGCTTCTCTGGGCAACCTGTGCCAGGGCCCCACCACCCTCACAACCAGGAATTCCTTCCCAATATCCCATCTATCTCTGCCCTCTGGCAGTTTAAAGCCATTCCCTGTGTCCTGTCACTCCATCCCTTGTCCCCAGTCCCTCTCCAGCTCTCCTGGAGCCCCTTTAGGCCCTGGAAGGGGCTCTGAGCTCTTCCTGGATCCTTCTCTTCTCCAGGTGAGCACCCCCAGCTCTCCCAGCCTGGCTCCAGAGCAGAGGGGCTCCAGCCCTTGGAGCAGCTCTGTGGCCTCCTCTGGTCTCCCTCCAGCAGCTCCAGGTCCTCCTGCTGTTAGAGCCCAGATCTGGAGGCAGCTCTGCAGGTGGGGTCTCAGAAGAGTAAAGGGTGAGAATGCCCTCCCTGGATCTGTTATTTGATCCCTCCCAAAGTGACATCCCTGTCACCTCCCCAAACCTAAACTCTGCCAAACATTGCCCAGGAATTTGGGGTGGGAGGGACCATTGACCATGTCCCATGGGCAGGTGGGATAAAATCCTTGTTTAGGGGTGGAAGGTGCATCAGGCTCAGCACAGGCCGCACCTTCATTCCCTCAGCAGAAGGAATGAGCCCAGACCCATTTCACTTACCCACATTTAAATATTCTGCAGCTCTTCTGCGCTGAGAATGCTGAGAAACAAAACCTGCCTGGACACTGCTGGTCAGGGAAGCTAAACAGGAGAGGGTGAGGAGCAGCATCTCAATCCAGCCTGGTCCAACACTGTCCCAGAGCTCTCAGAGCAGTGATGCCCCTGCAGGTGCCTCAGGAACGGCCTGCATTCCATGTCAACACAACCCAGGTGACATCACAGCATCACAGCACCCGCTCCTTCCTGGGGGTGCCACACTTGGATTGTCCTTCCCGGGGCAAAAGGGTCACTGAGGGCAAGCTCAGGGATTTCCAAAAGGTTTGTGGTTTCCTCTGGCTTTCACAGGGACGTGGAAAAGAGGAATTCCTGTCTGTATCCCGGGCCAACCTCACAGGATATGGCAATGGAGGGTTTCATGAGCTGGATCTTGAACCACCTTTGAAGACCTCAGGAGCTGGTTCTCTGTCAGCTTTCAACTTCATCTCCAAAGCAAATCATCACATTAATTTTCTCATTTCCTGGTAATTTTCTCTCCAGTTAGACCATGCCTGGGGTATTGACTTGAATGTACTTAAACAAGAGAGTTGCTCCATCCCTGGAAATGCTCCAAACCAGGTTGGACAAGGCTGGGAGCAAACTGGGATAGTGGAAAGAGTCCCTGCCCATGGCAGGAGGTGGGAATGGATGATCTTTAATGTCCCTTCCCACCCAAACCACAATGGGATTCTGTGTTTGTAGGAAAAAGCAACAACTCTGTCAAAGGACAATTTTCAAAGAGTGCCCAATCAAAACTCTCAAGTCAAAATCAAACCAAAGATGCCAGTAAATAATTCTGTGGTACCAAAATATTTTGGTGTTGGCCAACTGTAGTATCAATGGAGCCCTTATGCTGATTTTTAGACCAAGACATCATTTCCATCAGGACAGTACTTAAAAAAACCCTCAGCCAGGCTCAGACTTGAGGATATCTATAATAAGAGTTTTTCCCAAAGACTTTCCAGCTTGTTTCAAATAAATAATTACAGTATGGAGTGGGAGGGGAGGGAGAGGAAAGGAAGGGAACCAGGAGACATTTCATGAGCCCCCAGATGATTCAGCACCTGAAATGCTTTGCCTTGGAGCACATCAGGAATTATCCCACTGGAGTCTGGATTTCACAGGGGCTGACAATGCACAGGATGAGGGTAAAACTTTATTTCACTCTCTTTGCTTCTCTGTCACTTCATGCCAAGGAAATGAGACACAAGTGCTGGTTTGCTTATCTGTGAGCACTGAGAAAACTCCATGGCAGGACAGTTTAGGGGCAGGATCACTTACCACAGAAACCAAAATTCTGAGTGTGCTGTGGGCACATTTTGGGGCATCTCCAGGAAGAGCCTAACAGGGCAATCCGGGCTGAGGCAGCTCCTGTAAGCCTGGCCCAGGTGCAATCTGCCACGAGGACAGATTTCCTCTGGGTTTTGAGGCTGGGATGAGCTCAGCATCAGCTGAGGAGCACGAGGGAAGATGGGGAGATGATTTTTCTGGCACGGATTTACTCCCCATGTTTGGAAACAGTGGGCAGGGCTGCAGCACTGGATGTACAACCCCAAACACTGACTTTGTGGGGAGCATTTTCAGCCTCTCCAAGCTTGGAGCACGATCTGCTCTGCTGTGTAGGTACAGGAGATGTTCAGGGAGCTGGGTTGGGCCTTTTTGAGCTTTAAAGCTGAGCTGGTGAGCAGGAAACATCAAACCAAGCTATGGAGAGCAGTGCCATGGAGAAGGAGGTGCTGTGGATTTGTGTCTCTGAGTGCCACCATCTGTCCCCCAAAACTGGCTCACTCCTTGAGCTCTGGACCCACAGGATCCCATTTCCATAAACTGTGCATCCCTGCATCCTTTGTCTGCACTTTTGAGTCTGCACTCTGAGATCCCCATGAATAAATCCAAAAATTGATTTTTTTTCCCCCTTTCTGGCTGGCCTGCTATTTTGACTGCACACTCACTGGAGACTGCCCCAAGTTACCTTTTCCATGAGTCTTCTCTTGGTGGGGGCTCCCCAAGTTATTAAAGTACAAATAATTAATCATAGGGGTAATTCCACTCCTCTGTACTGTCATGACTGATGATACAGATTTAAACACCCTGGTGTTTAATTAGAAATCTGCAGCATTTTATAATATTTGATTTAGATAATAACAATAATTTTGTTTTAGATCTACCCAGATATCCACTTGGAACACATCACAGACAACATTGTTCTTTTCTTGTTCTGTCATTTATTGCAGAGCAGGAAACAAAACTGATTTCTTTTTGTGTTCATTCACTTGGAACTGTCAAAAAGAAGCGTCATATTACAATTTTATTTTTATGGCTAAAATAATTTCAGAAAATAGGCACTACAGGTGGTACTAAATGCTGTGAGAGTGGAGTTGTGGTGGGAGAATCACTGATCTGATCAATTCATCATTCCCAAAGACATCACATTCCAAGGTTGTGACAGGTAAGGAACCCAACCACATCTCCAGAAGTCAAAGCTCTGGGAACACCAGGAAATTAATTAACCCAAAAAAAATCAAAAAGTCCAAAGGCATTGGAAATGCAAAGCAGCTACGGGTGCAACCACCTCCTAATTCACCCTTTTAACAGCATTTCAAGCCAAACTTCAGAAGTTTGGATCTCTTTCCACATTTCCACATGACAAGGAAAACCTGGGAGCTGCACAGAGCAAGAATGGGAGCAATTCCTGCCTCTGCTTTGGCTTTTGATGACGACAAACAGAAACCTGATAATTATGGAAAGCCTCCCCAGCAGATTCCCAAATCTTTATCCATGGATGCTGCAGGAACATCCATCCACCAGGGTTCCTGGTCTTTTTCTTCCCAAGCTCCCTACCATGAAGAGGAGGTGGTGGAGCAAGCCCAGGCTATTTCCTGATGCCCATGGGGCAGGAGACCCCCGTCCCTCCCAGGCCGCAGTACCCTCCAGGGTTCTTGCTGAGGTATTGCTGGTGATATTCCTCAGCATAATAAAACTCAGGAGCCTCCCGGATCTCCGTGGTGATGGGGCCAAAGCCTTCCTCCTTCAGCACCTGTCAGGAAAGACCACGGAAAGCCATTAGTGAATGACCTTAGGATTCCTCCCTGAAGGAGCCACAGGCTGTCTCTCAGTGCCCACACTCCCAGCTCATCCCTGAAAGCTTTTTCATCCCTGCTCTCGTGGTGTTTTGCTTTGCTCCGAGGCGTTGTGGGCACAGAGAGGGAGGGAGCCATCATCCCCGTTTAATGGCTCATTTGTTTAATCTGCCACGGCCACGCTTTTATTCTCTTTATTAACCCAGGCAGCGATGTGGAGCCATCAATGAAAGTGGAAAACAAAGGGAGAACACGCTGGGATCCACCCCGGGAAGCTGCAGCGTCCAGGAACCTTCCCTGGAAAGTGCCTCAGCCTCAAAATCCACCCCCAATGTCCTTGTCCAAGAAGAATTTCTGGGTGAAATTTCAACCCCAAGGATGTCCTTGGGAAATCAGAGCATTTGGGCTTTTTTTTTTTCCGCAGAGTCACTGCAATCTCGTTCTTCAAAGAGAAAACTTCCATCTTGACCAGAAAGTTTTAAGTTTTAAGGCAAATTATGGCTCATTTTGGAAATATTTGCCAATACCATGGACCAGGAGCAATAACCACTTGGCAGGAAGAGAAGACAGAATGTGGGTGGGGATTTTAAATTATACTTTAATTGCTTTCTGACATCCCCTAGCTGAGTTTGAAACTCCTGAGAGGTTTCTGACAGAGGGAATTTCTTTTTAAGATGAATTGCTGTGACATTTTCCCCATTACATTGTCCTTTCCTAAGAAAACTGGTAAACACTAACATTTTGGAGCCAATTCTCTTCTCAGTGTGGATATGACTTGTGCTCTGAAGTCTGTGCTAAAACCTAGTAAGCACTTTTAATTAATGACAGAATCCTGTTGCAAATTGTAGTTATAAATACTGGATGTAGATAAAATTGATTGAAGGGTCAGCATTTATGTTTCCCAGAAAAATATTTGTTATCTATCATACTATTAAATATACAAAATAAAAATAAAGGGAAATCATTGCATGGAATCACAAAATTATGAATCTGCCATCAGTTATCAAGTTCATCCTCTTGACTGAATGGTAGCAGCCTTGATCCCAAAAAACATTGGTTATGGAAGATCTTTGGAGATGGAGATCTTCATTCCAATATTTTCCATCCTGTTAGAGAATCCCTCCCAATCCTAGCCCAGTTAAATCCAGTACTTTAATTTAAACTCAGCATTGCTGGTTTACTCATCCTGGAAGTGGAAAGGAAATCCTTCTGTTCCTCTTTCATCTCTGACATGGCTGGGGAGAGGCAAGGATGACATGCAATGGAAATACTTCACTTAAACAACAGGTGATTATTTGGGACAAAAAGTTTCCAAATTTCCCCCACTGGGTTTTCCAGATCCTGCCCCACCACAGCCAAGCCCTGCCCTCAACCTGACAGCAGCTGCTGGGATTTGGGGAGCACTACTTTGATTTATTCCCATAATTTCACCATCTAAAGGACACATTCTGCTGTATTCAGTCTTCAGCCAGGAATGAAGTGATCAGATGGATACAAAATCCATGATGGACCAGTCTGGAGTGCCCTGAGTTCCCGCCCTGATTTATCAGCACAGCTTAGGAAGGTGCTGACTCATTAATTCCTTGTGTTCCCAAGCAAGGAATTGGGATCACAAGCTCAGTTTCACAGGAACCTGGCCTTATTTCCCCATGTAAAACCACCAACCAGCTTTTTTCCACCTTTGGGACAGGCTTTATCCCAAGGCAATCAGTTTATTCACCTGTCAGTTTATTCACCCAGTACTTACATTTAAACCCAGTATTGCAGGTTTACTCATCCTGGAAGTGGAAAGGAAATCATTCCCTTCCTCTTTCATCTCCTACATGGTTGGGGAGAGGCAAGGATGACATGCAATGGAAATATTCTACTTAAACAACTGGTGATTATTTGGGACAAAAAGTTTCCAAATTTCCCCCACTGGAGTTTCTCAGATCCTGCCCCACCACAGCCAAGCCCTGCCCTCAGCCTGACAGCAACTGCTGGGCTTTGGAGAGCACTGCTCTGATTTATTCCCACAATTTCACCATCTAAAGGACACATTCTGCTGTGTTCAGTCTTCAGTCAGGAATGAAGTGATCAAATGGATACAAAATCCATGATGGACCAGTCTGGAGAGCCCTGAGCTCCCAATCCTGGACCAGATTTCTCAGCATAGCTAAAGAAGGTGTTGACTCATTAATTCCTTATGTTCCCACACAAATAATTGGGATCACAATCTCCATTTCACAGGAACTTGGCCTAATTTTCCCATGTAAAACCACCAACCAGCTTTTTCCCATCTTTTGAATTGGATTTATCCCAAGGGAATCAGTTTATTCACCTGTCAGACATGTGAGTAAGGAAGATAAAACATGTGAAGGTTTGCACTACAGCACGTCAACAGCACCAAACACAAAGAGGTGTCAACACAGCTCCTTTCACAAAGCACTGTTTCACTTTCTAACCTTCCCAGCACAGAGAAAACACTTTGGAATGATCTTCATTGCTGAAAGATGGCACAAACTCTGCCATCCTGGGCATTACTCATTTACCTGCAGCTGCAAATGCAGTCAAAGTTGGCCTCCCCCTTCCCTGAGTCATGAGGATGCTGCTGGAGCAGGAGAGATTTTTCCACTGTGTTTTCCACAGTGTTTGTTACAGATTTTTAACCTGGGACTTTTCCATCATTGGCTTCATTTTGTCAGTTAGGGAATCCATTCCGTTCGATGTGGCACCACAAGAGGGCATAAACATCATTTATCCCTTCCCAGTCCATTAAAACCTGAATAAAGCAGAGCCCAAGATGAGTCCTTATATTGCACTTTGGTGCTGTTGTCAGTGGGAACCCCTGGCCCTGACACTCTGCCAAATCCCACCTTGGATGTTTGGATTTTAAAGGGAAAATTATTTTCCTCACACTGGCAATGTTGATGCGAAGATAAAAACATTGCAGGGAGACATGAGGAAGTTCAGGATGTTTAGCTGGCTCTGGCAAGTGTAAATCAGCCCACTCTGGATTGATTTCCTGACACTGAGGCTGATATAATTTGATGGTAATCCTGTTCTAGAAGAATTTTTAGTCCTCTCTGTCTCAAAATTCCTGAGCCATCCAATGAGACCTCTCATTACCATGCTGCATTTAACCCTTGGGATTTTTAACTCATTGCAAGAAAATTTTAAGGAACCATTGGATCCTTTTCCCCTCCAATATTCCACTGCAATTCAAAGATAATTTATTCCTTCAGAGGATTTCTGTGGC